ATATATATGTATATATGTGTATATACCTATGCATAGATATTTTTCCAGTCTATAACGTACTGGACTCATTTATGGGGACCCTGACTGCTACTGCCCCAGGCTCCGTTATCACACCCTCGACTAAGCCCTGAACCCTAGAAGCCCAAACCCTAAAAGCCTAAATCCTAAGCCCTGAAAGCCTGAACTGTAAGCCCTCGGCGCGTAGACCCTTAGCCCTACATGCCTGAACCCTAAACCCCAAAGGCCCAAACCCGAACCTCGAAAAGCTTAAATCCTTGAGCCACACTCGGCCCCCTACACCCTAAAATCCTAACCCTGAAAACCCCAAACCCTAAAACCCTAAACCCCAAACCATTCCTACAAGGGTTCGGTGTCTCCCCACTGGGTCCAAGAAGAGGGGAGATCGCCTCTCCCAACTTGTAGAACCCGGGTCTCTTCGTTTCGGGTTCTGTGGGCTTGGGATTAGTTAAAGGAAACTATAGGTGGGGAGTTTAGGGTACATAGGGCTTCTATAAGGCTTCTAGACGGCTTCTATAAGGTATATAGACCTTCTATACGGCTCCTATAACGGTAACTACCCACCTGAAAATGTCCTAGATTTAGGTATTGAGGGTTTGGGGTTTAGGGTTTAGGTACTGGGGGTTTGGGGTTCAGGTGGGAAAGGGCTTAGGGCTTCGGCTTTCAAGGTTTGGGGCTTAGGGATTCAGGCCTGCAGGTTCCGGGTTTAGGAAGCATCATAAGTTCAAGGATTCCTTCATGCGTTGCTACAAGGGCTTTGGGTTTGAGTTTTTTTGGGGGTTGCATAGGGTCCTCTGTTATGGATTTATGGTCGGGGTGGAAGCAGGGCGAGGTGGGGAAACAGATTAGCAACATCACAGGTTGTCTGCTCTCCTAGAGCTTTTGATCTTGATTTCAATCTGTCTGCTGGGGTCCAAAAAAGTTTAACTATTCCCGTAAGACCTACACCTTAACCCACTAAACCCTCAACCTTGTAATTAGAGGGGTGCATGGGTGCAGGCAAAGCGGTGGCTGCTGCAGGCAGAGGCTGGAGCAGGGCTATGACTGTTTCGGCAATCCATGGAACCTGATGAAACTTCTGCCAGGCTGTGCATTCAGCTGTTCTAGGGCCATGGTCGCCCTCAAAGAGAGAACAGCATGACTTTCCTGCGCAGAACTGAGCAGCTCGCCAAGTTGCTGTGTACATAGGTGCTCTGAGTTAGGGCCAGGGACCGCTTTTTGAAATTCCAGAAAAGAGTTTGTCACTGTTGCAAAGCACCGGACCAAGGATCCTGTTTATGGCTCTAATTTAGAGAACTATTCGGCGAGGAGGTCGCAGACGCTGGTTGAGCAGCACAAAAGCCGCCGTGCTAGAGATTTTTCCGTCGCCTCGCGACTGCTAGGACGCCGCTTTCGACGACAGCCCTACTCAGCTTTTGCTCACAGACCAAGTTGCAACCAGACATGTTAGCCTTGTTCTTCCGCTTCTGCTTCTTCCACTAGTTCATGGTTGCAACATCGAAGCACCGCTGGAATCCCAATCCCCTCAAAATCAAAATCAACATCTTAAATTAAGCCAGCATCATCACGGTTACCTCAAGAAGCGCACCTACAGCCCAGCCCTCTTTACGTCAGCAGCGGTTCTCCAGCCGCATGGTTCAGCGGTGTAGTGGGATTAAAGATTTAGGGTTTTGAGGTGTAAGGTGGTGTTGGCCATCTTGCCATGCACCTGACTGAAGTTCGCTGTGGCCAGAGCGTGCGAAACCCAGCAAAGCAGTCGCTCACGCCATCCCGCTCGCAAGCGCTTTGCAGGTTTGGCTCTGGTCGGGTATCTAAGTCGTCGCCGTCATCGCAGGGTAGGAACCTGAGGGGGCTATGTAGTTTGTAGTCGCAGCAATTAGATGCTATTCCGTTGTTGTCTTTTTTCGATAGCAGAAGCATCAACAGCAACAGACGGCAACAGCCACTAGCGTCCTCTTCTTGCTGCACTATCACCCGAACTCTGAGTGGCACATTCATTAAATTTCAGTACGATCACTGGCCACCGTATTGTGCCTGTTGTCTTGGCGGTGATCGCAGCCGATCCTCATCTTCGTTGTTGTCTTGTTGCTTTCTTTCCTCCTCTGGTATAGCCCGCAAGCCCAACACCCCTAAGGCCGTGCTTGTTCAATTTTTCGGAACATCTTCCGTAGCTTTCGCCGCTTTTCGCTCCTGCTCTCGATCTCCGGCTGTCCCGGAACCCTAAAACTCTAAACTTTATAGTGCCTCCCACAGTAACCCCCCATAGTAACCCTCATAGTAGCCCTTATAGTCGTAGAAACCCCAAGCCCAGGTGTCCGTGCTTGATCTTGCAGCTTCTCTCGATGGACAATGAGTACCATCCTCAGTTGGTCGTGGGGTTCCCATAAGGGTCCCTTCAAGGGTCCCTTCAAGGGTTCCGGTAAGGGTTCCGGTAAGGGTTCCGGTAAGGGTTCCGGTAAGGGTTCCTGTAAGGGTTTCTTTAGGGGTTCCTTTAAGGATTCTTTGAGGGGTTGCTTTCAGGCTTACTATAAGGGTTCGAGAGGGGGCTGAAAAGGGGTTAAGGCGTTTCAGTTTTGGGAAGGGTTGCGGGTGTTGTGCAGCGTTTAGGGTCGTTTAGGGTTGCGATTTTGAGCTTAGGGTTTGGGGCTGAGGTTCTGGGGGTTTGGGGTGTGAGATTTTTCGCAAGGACCGAAACCCAAACTGCGAAGGCTTGAACATTGTGTAGCTTGGGACCTAGGCAGGAGCATACGCCTAGTTAAAGAGCTTATTGTAAGTTACCATAATGGGGACCTAGTAAATTTAGATAATGTGGTTTCCTTTCTTCTGTTGGCTTTAACCAAGTCTTTCAAAACAAGGATCCATGTTTTAGCGAGGCTAGACCCGACTGTTGGCATTCCTCGCAGATACATCGGCGACGAGCGCCACACGAAAACAGCTGAGGCCAGGATCCTTCATCAGTGCTTTGCAGGGCGCCGAGACGTGTGACACTGGTGATGTTGTCCGGAGAGGCGCCTTCATGAGTTCTACTACTACTGCTACCACTACTACCACCACTAAACTACTAGCAATGGCAATTATGGCACAACGCATCGACCGTGCTAGGCAAGGTGTCTTTACTATGGAGAGACAGCGTATCGCGACCAGTTGCTGCACTAAGCCCCATAGGAGCCCTACAGTAACCCTCCTAGCAACCCATGGGTGAAGGACGCGCCAAAACGATGTCCAGAACGCCCACGAAAAGCATGCTGAATTTGCAGATATGCGAAGCCCAAGTGCCGTGTCCCCAAACACACTTTCAAGTCAGGGCCAGTGACCCCTTAAATCTCGAACCCTGAACCCCTGAACCCTTCGTTTCCCGGAGCACGAAGCCTTAGACCAGTTGCTCAGGCTTCTCTCGCCAAGTGCTACCGATGCAGCACCTAGCCATGCCGCGGCCACCGAGAGTGCGAGTCTCAAGACCGGAAGCTACTCTTCTTAAGCCCGATCAATTACCTTAGGTCCCTTGTGAAAGGGAGTGTAACATGCTCAAAAATTTGTTCTAGTTCTAAATGTCCCTATATCATGCTGTTTCTGGTGCGGTGGGTCTAGGGTTTGAGGAGGGGGAGGGCTTAGGATAATGCCATCTGAAGATGATGGACGTCTTATGTCTTCTTGATCTAGTGTGGGTAGCTCTCTAAATTAGGATCCCTTGTTAAGCTTCTGTTTTTTCAGGGTGCCGCACGATTTGGGGGGTCTAAAAGGGGCCCTAATTCAGAGAGCAGCCCCCTCTGAACCCTAAACCCTACACCCCCCTCTGTGTCTCTTCCTTTTCGTAGATCTCCTTTGGAGGCTGGGACCCGGAGGCCGAGCAGCAGCCGGTGGTCGAGCAGACTTTGGCCAACTACCGAGCCTGGTTGGGGGTTTGGGGTTTGGGGTT